GCCGTTCCCCAGACCTGAACCGCAGCGGGTTTCGGATCATTCGAGGCGTCGGCCCGGTGGGAAACCACCTCTCGCTTCAAGTTGGAGGTGGATGCGATCGTGCTCCACGCATATGGAAACGCTCAGGTAAAGGATTTATTGTAACACTGCCTTTTGGCAGCTGTAATTTAACCTATTTTGTTTGTACCGCCCGGTGGGAAACCACCTCTCGCTTCAAGTTGGAGGTGGATGCGATCGTGCTCCACGCATATGGAAACGCTCAGGTAAAGGATTTATTGTAACACTGCCTTTTGGCAGCTGGAATTTAACCTATTTTGTTTGTACCTTTCTGCAGTTACCTTGCTGGATTCCAGATCAGTTCAGGGAGAGCTGGGGTGGATAGCAAGTCCCCTGGAAGGAGGGGTAAGTTTTAAACCGCTATCTGATCAAAAGGGTAAAGGGGGTGATTAGTAACTTTCAGAGAGTCCTAATGGCTCGATTATTGTTGATTGTGGGGAGGAGGTCAGATTTCTTCCCTGGCTTACCGAGTGAATTACTCTTTGTTGGAGAAACTCTATACTCCCTTTGGCTAGCTCTGTCGTGGAAGAAGTGGAAACCAAAAGGGCAGAAAAGAGGTTTCGGAATTAGGAGATTGGTTGAGGCGTGGGCTTAGATGCCTATTTAAAACAGAAATACCGACAAGAAATGTGATCTGGCGACTGAACTGGCATTCTTGACTGTAATTATTATATCTGTGGGCCGTCTCGGCTGGGAGATGTTCAGGGCAATTGCTGTTCTATTTCTGGGTGAAGGAGTAGGGATCAATATAAAAGACAGACCTTCTGGCGTGACGGGACAGTTGTCCTATTTTGGGGTGTAAACATCATATGTTTTGGTCTCTGAACAGCTAAACTGAAGCACCCAGTGCTCGATGGTGATTCCTTGGAGTTTCTTTTTATGTACTCTTCAAAGAGGCGGCAATTGGAAGGGAAGATTGCTCGAATTCACTGCCCCGTGGTGGGTGATGTGATGGCATTAAGAGATTCACACATCCCTTGCTGGGGCTTAGAGCCCCTTTGCTTAGTGAGCCGCAAACAAGGTGTATCTACTAATTCAGCTTTATATTAGACAAGGTGTATCTACTAATTCAGCTTTATATTAGCTGATGGGCACCTTGCTGCTCCCTCTGTGCCCCATCCTGCGGGGTGCCCAGGGCCTCTGTGGGAAACTCCTGAGAACGCTGGGCTTTGGAGTTGGTGGGATCTGGTGGAGACTGTACTTCGTGGGATCTTTTGGGAAAGGCTTTTTCTTTCCCGAAGTGAACAATTTAAGAAAAATGCCAGCAATGCACACTAAATGTTAATATAAAAAAAACCCCACCTCAAATCCTTTTAATATTAAATGAGTAAAGCAGCTTAGTATGCTTAAGCAGAAGTAATTAAGTCAAACTGATTGAAAAATAAAAGTGCTGAAAGATCAGGACCTGTGCACAGCAAAGCACTGGATTCTTCAGGAAACCTACAAATTTACTTTTTTGTGTGCGTTCCCACTCGTAATTAGAAGAAGCAGAGCTAAGGAAACAGCAGTGAGTGGAAGGAATCCGAGGTTGCGTTGGCTGGTGATGCATTATGCATAAGCTCGGAATAACTATAACATGGGAGAATGGGGGATTGTTTTGCTTCCCCATTGTTGTTCTGGGTGAACTTGACTACAGTCGTGGCTTGTGCTCTGCCTGAGCACACTGTGCTGTCCCCGAAACTTGGGTTTTTCAAAGAGTGGGGAGGTGATTGGCAGGCCTCTGGCAGCGCCGACGGTGCGCAGTCGCTGCTGATTGCAGGCAATTGCCCTCATCTTTTGAGAGTGTGGAAAGGTACAGCTCTTGTCTCCGTGAGAGTCGGGCATCCTTGTTAATCCTGTACCCTGGAAAGGTCAGTTAATGAGACGGGGTCTTTCATAACGGCTCTCCAAGGGATATCTACGCTGGATGTTAAAATAGGACCTAAAATACAAGTTTTAATAAGTTGCTAGTAGAATTGGTGATCAGAGGACAGCTGTATGTTATCAATGGCTGTTGGATTCCCCCTTTCCCCCCATGTTTTCTCTGAAAGTGCCATGCAAGCTTGAGAAGGAAATGTGTGCTCTTCTTGTGGACGTGACTCATTTCACTAAACCTACATACGTGTGTTCTATTTTTAAGCCAGTAGTGAAAAATTTAAGAGTACATGGTCTGTCTCTGAGATACAGTGCTTGGAAAGCATTTATTTTAACTTCATATGCTGCAGATTTATTTCAAGCAGCAGAAATGAACTCCTCCTTTATCTTCCTGGGAGGATTCTGTCCTCTGGCGCTAGTTTTTCTTTAGCTGTGTGCACATTATTGTCTATTACAAAAGGTATTTTTCTAGGTCTATACCACGTAGATCTATACCACGCAGTTCCTGAGGTGTGAGGGTTGTGTGGATAAGAAGGGCTGGAGATAAATGTAGTCGTTTAGCAGTGACTAGCAGTATCAAATATATAGTAGCCCTGGAGGAATTAATGAATTGCATTATAAATATAATTAATGATTTACTCTTGCGTTTCACAGTTGAAAAGCAGGTTTTGTGCCCAGAATGTCTTACTCTGCATCATTAAACCGTGGGAAGAGTTGAATTATAAAAGTTAATTTCAGCTTGAAAGCAAAAAGTTACAGCTTTGACCACATACTTAGAGTTACAAATCATTTACAGTGCCTGGAAACTTGGGGCTCTAGTTATTTTCAGCTCTGGCAGTAAGATGCACTTAGGTTTGTTTTTGTGTACGTGTGTTTATGAAATAAGAAGCCCAGCTCTATGTATTTGCGTGTCTGTCAGGAGACAGGGGTGTGTTCAGAACCTGAACTGAAACTTGCTGAATTTAGTTGCAGTCTGTCCGCTGACCTCGGCGGTCTCTTTATTGAATCCTCTAGCAGCATCCTCCATTGTATAAACGTACTAAAGGAAATCCCATCAACAAGTATTATTTCCCTCTGCTTCTTCCTTTCTCTTGTACCACACACAATATCGGTAGCGTAGACAGCCTGAAGATAAGCAGAATGGAAAGTGATGGATCATGAAGACAATATTGTAACAGTAAACTAGCTCCGTGGCAGCTGTAAATTAAACAACTCTGTCTTCTTACTAACACCATGTTACACTTTACATTGATAGATGACTTTTTAAGATTTATTTTTTCCTTTTCTGTGAGAAGGAGTGACATGCTGAGTATTGATTTCCCCACCCTCCTTCATTTTAATTTGCAGTTATCTCTAGGCAGCAAATAAAATATTACTCTTTCTACTCCTAGTGACTCATGGTGCTAACTACTGTCATTCTATAAACGGATTCAGCTAAGCTGGAATCTTTTTAAGTAAAAAATCACTTGCATAAGAGCAATCCTTGCAGGAAGAATGCAGGATATTATACAAGAAGCCCCTTAACGTTAAGGCGGCTTCTGTTTAATCAAAGCCACAGCTTCAGTAGTTCTGAAAAGCATTTCTGGGAAGTCTCTTAAAGTTACTACTGTTTTCCAAGGATAATTTTATATGCTTCATTGTATTGCCTGCAAACCCGGACAGTATATCGTTATCTAATACATTATTTTTTTAAGAAGGATTTTTCTGATACTGAAGTGCTATGGGGCTTTTGCTGGAAAGATATATCTCCCTAATGCCCCTACTTCCCCCTCTCTCCCTGCCAGGAAAGCACTGTGATAAACTTTCTCCTGTCTAAGATAATCCTTAAAGCAATTTTTTTTTCAAAACTGTTGATTATGTGTGCTTTCCTTTTATAGGTTCATCGTGCTGAACTACTGAATTAGGGCCAGATCTCTTCTTTCCATACTTTCCTCGAATTGCATGTGGTGGTGGTGGTGTTTCATGATTATGTTGCCTGTTAGTTTGGCACTTCTGAAGATGCTGAACTTGCTTTGAGGGGTGTAAGAGTTCTGAAGCGTGCTGCTACCCTGATCTTTCAGCACTTAGCCTCTCTGCTAACCTCTTTGGGTTTTTGAGAATATGAATTTAACTATTTCCTGACATTTCCTCTAGGACAAGATGTGTAATATTCCTTCTTTTCCCACCTTTCTGCTAATAAGAAACTTTGTTTGGATGGCAAAGTTATGGCAGTGTTGCTGGTGGACTGATGATGTTGTCTCCTTACCTGTCCATCCATGTCCGAGTGTCACCCAAGTCAAGGACCCCGTTCTCTGTAGACAGCTATTTCTGCCCAGTGCCAAAGTAAAGACTGTTTGCTGAGTGTGACAGGCATATTGCTAGCCTGGGAAAGTAGTGGGCAGCTTAGAGAAATAATAAGGGGTGGTTTAAGAGTCTAAAATACGTGGTAGTGATGCCAGAAATGTGGATGTTGCTCTGTCTCTGCCCCGTGCTTTTTGTGCGACTAAGTCACGCGATCTCACTGTTGGATATTCCCACTTTGCATGTGGGGTCCACACGTTCCCTGCTTTGTCTGCTACAGGGGAAACACCGTCGTGTCAGTGATGTACTATGAGTTTGTAAAGTGCTGTGTGTAGCCCTGATGTAGGCAGGGTCCTGTGGGCTGAAGTGTAGTGCAAATAAACATCGTCAGTCGAGAGAGTATTCTTGGATCGGTTCAGAGGGCCTTTAAAACACATGCTTGCTCCTGGAGGTGTTACTTGGTTTGGAGCTTGTTTCTCCTGAACAGATTCTTCTTTTTGATGTCCGAGTGGTTGAGGTCCTGGCTATGGCTTGGTCTGCTGTGTGTTGTTTTGGGTTTTTTGGGGGTTTGTTTTCCTGTAATGGAAAAAATGCAATCTCCACATTAGTTGTGGAAGTGCAGATTATGTTTGCTGTGAAGCTCTGTAGTTCCTTTTAATACTGATGCATTTTTCTTCCCCTTTCCCTCTTCACAGTGGGAGGAAGTAAGCATTATGGATGAGAAGAACACTCCGATCCGCACCTATCAAGTCTGCAATGTGATGGAGCCCAGTCAGAATAATTGGTTACGAACTGATTGGATTCCCCGTGAGGGGGCTCAGAGGGTATATATTGAAATCAAATTCACGCTAAGAGACTGCAACAGCCTGCCAGGTGTCATGGGAACTTGCAAAGAGACTTTCAACCTTTATTACTATGAATCAAACAATGACAAGGAGCGTTTTATTCGAGAGAGCCAGTTTGCCAAGATTGACACCATCGCTGCTGATGAGAGCTTCACCCAGGTGGACATCGGTGACAGGATCATGAAGCTGAATACAGAGATCCGGGATGTGGGACCGCTCAGCAAGAAAGGGTTTTACTTGGCTTTTCAGGACGTCGGTGCCTGCATTGCTTTGGTGTCTGTTCGTGTCTTCTATAAGAAGTGCCCGTTGACAGTTCGAAACCTGGCACAGTTTCCAGACACCATTACCGGGGCTGATACATCCTCTCTGGTGGAGGTTCGCGGCTCCTGCGTCAACAACTCGGAAGAGAAGGATGTGCCAAAAATGTACTGTGGGGCAGATGGTGAATGGCTGGTGCCCATTGGCAACTGTCTGTGCAATGCTGGCTATGAAGAACGTAATGGTGAATGCCAAGGTAGGATGAGCCATATTGTACTCTTCATTAGGGCTTAGTTGAATGCGTAATTGAATCGGAGATGAGAGTAAATGGAGTAAAGCCAGTAATTAGCAGTCCCTGTGGGATGCGGTGGGACAGAGGGGTTTAACGAAGAAGTCCAATAGCTCCAGGTGGCAAGGCTGAGAATTATACAATGCAAAACAAATGATACTGCCGTAATAGGCAGAAGGCAAAACACATTTTCTAGCAGGCGCCTAAATTTGAATTGGCTCACGATAGTCACCAAAATGTGAATGACTGCAAAACAGTGCAGTCGAGCTACCGTCGTTTAAAGAGACACATCTCAAGTTTTATCTGAAGCGAACTTTGTTAAGCACAGGGAATTCTGGCAAAGTCTCCTCTGGATAATGTGGTGGGATAAGAACCAGTTGGGGAGGTGGGGAACAGGAGTTTTAGCCGGATTACTTTTCCTCTTTGGGAAGGGGAAGTCTTTGGTGTTTTACTTGTTGCAAATTTTTAGCACTAAATAACCCTTTGATATTTGACACTGCTGCCTTTGTTAAATATTTTCATTTCTCAGAGGGTCTCTATTGTCAGCTTAATAATAGAGGTGCTAGGATACTCTTAGAAATGCCAGAAGTCTCCACCCCACCCTCCCACACACACCATCCTGTGTGCTGCAGAATTAGGGATTAAAGTTTGTATAAAAGACAGATTATCCTAAAAAGGAAAAAACCTCAAAACCTATGTTCTCTTCGCCTCCCCTTTCTGGAAAAAGAAGTTGTAAAAGGCTAGGGAAGGAGAGAAGGGGGTTTGTAAATATCTTTAGCCTCAGCTTCTAAACACTTGCTCGTATAAGCATAAACTAAGATCAAACTTGAATGGATCCTTGCACAGGTCACTGGGCTTAATTTTGCTGGGTGCTGAATGGAAGGTGCTCAACTCCTTTGTGGATTTGGACCCATGTTTTTGGAAAAGGTTCTTTGCAGCCAGATGACTTGGCTTCACATCTTCTTGGTGTGTTTTTCACTAGGTCATTTTTTTTCATCTTGAGACTGAGAACAAGGTAGCGGAGCAAGTAACTGACTGCTTTTGTGCTAGACTCCTAAGAGGACAGTGTCTTTCCAATGTCCTACTTGATTTCTATTAAATGATAGTTTACAGTCAATATGAAGTTCATTATTATGCATTGAAATGATACTTAGCGCTTCTTTCCTGCCGGAGCTTAAACTTCGGCCTTCATTTCTAGTGGTTTTGCTATATGGAAGAAGCCTAAGTGTGCCGTATCGGCCACAAAATTGCCATGGGCTGTAGAGATGAGCAGCACGATGACAGAGCATCCTGTCTGGGGTAAATGACTCTGGTTTTTTGGAATCCTTTGAGATGGGAACTTGCAAACCTGTGTATCGTTAAACATGCGAACCTGTGGCTGTGGTACTGACGGGGTGCTGCTGGGGAGAGCCGTTGGTGGCTGGGGAGATGCTGTTACTTTCTGATAGCTCGATAACTTCTGGGCAAAGCTTCCCGACACCTTTACAGCCTGGGTTGCGAGAGGAGGAAGTGAATGGGGGGGAAAAGCATCTTGGTGTATTGCACGGAGATTATTTCCCCATCCCTGGAGGTATTTAAAAGACAAATAGATGAGGTACTTAAGGACATGGCTTAGTGGACATGGTGGTGTTGGGTCGACGGTTGGACTCGATGATCTTAGAGGTCTTTTCCAACCTCAATGATTCTATGATTCTGTGATTCTATTCCACCTTCTCCTAAAGGCCTATTGCATCAGTACTGGGTCACTCCGATGGATGCAGATCTACCATTTTTCAGCGTCAGTGGCCCAGATTTGATGAGCTGATTGCCTAACAAATCCTGTGTTGTTCAAGGGAAATCTCGTGAGGTTTTGCTGGTGGGCAGTGGTGACAGCGGGATGCTTTTTTTCTTATTTATTTATTTTGGTGGTGTTGGACTAGAACTTGGGGATGAATGTCAGCTTACCTACCGGCTCTCAGCTGCACCCGGGGAAGCTTGGGCTCAGGAAACCCAATTCCCTGTTTGCCAAGTAAAAGGAAGGTCAAGCGATGCCATATTTACAAAGGAGATAGAAATGTTCTGTCTCTTGGGCTCTCCAGAGTGAAGCTGGCCTGTACTAGTCATTTTGAGAGGATTTGAGCCAGCATGTAATTTGAAAGCGCTAAACCCATTTCATCAGTGGTTATTTGTGGTTTCCTTTTCTCACATTTGCCGTTCTCCAGCCAGAACAGTTCACTGGGAAGCTCCTCTTCATGAATTCATGAACTATGAATTCACTGATTCAGAACTATGCAGCTTGCTCTCTGGTTTCCAGCGAGGCCGTTGAAGCTGTTTGGCCTTTGACACTGCTGGGAGAGGCTTCCCCTTTTCTTACCCGCTCAACTTCATAGTTCAGCAAATGTTCTGCTCCGGCAGGTTTTTGGAGGAGAGGAGGAGGATGAAGTGAGGAGGATTCCTGTGGTTTTGGTACAGAGGATTGGGGGCGGGGGGGAGAAACTTTGAGTTTGGGAAAGGCTGTAAAAGGGTGCCGGGCTGGGACCGGAGCTGGTGAGCAGGTTCCACCTCAATTGTTTTTCAATAGGTTGACTGTGGCAGGACAAATACACGGAAAGGTCAGAGGTTGTCAGTTTCCTCATCCATCTTCCCCTGTGATCCTAGGGTCAGACTTAGGATTGATTAAGATCTTAAATGTTTGACAAAAGCTCGGTGGGCAGAAATAGTTTAGGCCAGTGGATCGGGGCTTTGCACTTGTTGGGAGTTCCATGGGAGACGTCGGAACTCCCTGTCCCCTCCTGGGACCTGCCCCCTGCCACACAGTGCTGGGACGGACCGGCTGGTGCTTGGGTTGCCCTAAAAGCTGCTTCAAGTTTGCTCAACCTTCTGATTTTTTTAATAATACATTTTCCTTGAGCTGCTTTTGCTTAATTTCTGATGTGTGTGAGGGAGGCGTAATGGGAAGCCGCTTCACATCTAAAGTGGTTCCTGTAGTGGGAGTTAATGACTCTCTGACCTTGAACAGGATTTTTAAAAAATTGTGTCGGTGGTATGGAGGTGTTTGAATATGATGACAAAAAACTGGCCTTCCTCTGACTGCTATTTTTTTTTCCAGCTGACTTTATTGATGATGACTGTCTTACTGAACATCCATATATGTGTGTGTATATATACTGCAAAAATGCAGTGCAGAAAGGGAAGGGAGCCAAGTGTTTAATCCATATTTATTTGGGAAGCTTCACGGGTGTGTCACAGGAGTGGTTCCACAAAATTGGTCCTGATCAGTAGAAATATTAGGTGAGCAATGATTCTTTTCTTACAGGTGAATTTGTAGCTGTGAACTTGATGCTAAAAAAAAAAAAAACAACACCCAACCAACTTGCTGTTGATTTTTTTCTTATTATTTTTTGTCCCTCAAACTTCTTGCATTAATGGCTATCCATTTAGGAGAGCATAAATGTGGAATATTGTTGATGGAAAATGAGCCTATCCTAACTAGTGGCGCATCTCAAGGCTAAGGTAATTAGTGCTTTAGGGCAAAGTTGAGACATAAAGTAATTTTAAACTTTGCTTGTATGCATCATTGTTATGTAAATTGTTTTGTTACACATTAATATAATGTGGTTTGGATTTAGTTACGATTTCCTTATGATAAAATGCATATCTTTTTAACTCAAAAGAGAAGGGGGGAAAACAAGCAGGAAGGGAGAAAAGACAGATTAAAGAAGCAATAGACTGTAGCCATCTGTGATGATTTTGATGCTGTGAAATTACAAATCTCAATTTTAGACCTGCCACTTAGTATAAATATGTGAGACAGTTGAGATTTTTACTGTGATATTGTAAAGGTTATGAGAGCCAACAGCTTTGTCTTCATCTACACTTGCTTTTTTGAGTTGTGAATTGGCCAATTGGCAGAAAATCCTGTGTCACTTAAAATATGGCTCAGTCCTGGTTTCATATCACTGCTGTTTTTAGAATTTTCCTTCAAACTTTGATAAGAGCATCCCTAAGAAGTAATAATTTGAATGATAAGATTCTTTTTATCTCGGAGGCTTTGAAGGGTGGCTGTGATCATTGAGAGCAGCAGTTCAGTTTACATCAGAAGGGTACAGTCTAATTATATTTTTTTTTTTTTCCTGTGGTAAGGTTTTTTAGATGGCGGGTTTTGTAGTAGGAAACTGAAGTAATTTGTGTGTGCTTTCCCATTTTAGTCATAGACAACTTTTTTTTTTTTTGTCAGAATAACACTGATGAACAGTCTGGCTGCACAAAAGGGTAATCAGAAGGGTGACTAAGACTGTGTAGATTTGAGATTTCAGAAGGATTTTTTTTTTTTCAGGTTGATTATTTTTGGCAGGGGAAAAAAAAAAAATGCACAGACTCAACATGTTACGTTTTAAAAGGAGCTGAGAAGACGGAAGCTACCAGGAGGGGCATGGGAGCGGTACTGAAACACAGTCTGTCTGAATCAAATTTAGTTGGTTCTCTTCTCTGCTGAAGGAGTGATTTGATTACGTTATGTTCTCGTGTAGCTCAATAGATCTTCCAAGGGTTGCTCCCTCTGTGATTTTTGTACCACCTGGTGCATTTCAAAATCTCCATTTAAATGTCATTGCAGGCTCTGTAATGCATTCCTCCTCCCTGGCCCCCTCAGAAGTCAAGCTACAGTTGTCAAGCGATTGTCCCTTCATGTATTCCTTGAAGAAAGGCTGGGATTGCTTCCTTCTGAACTCCCGACAAAATTTCTGCTGATGCTCGGGGGAGCAATATCTGGTCCTTATTCTGTGTGTTACTAGTAAAAAGCATGGTCCTCGGAATCAAAGCCAGATGAGCTGTTGTGGTGGTGTGAATTTCATGGCAGGTTCTGGGTAGTCTTTTGTGGGGCATGTAGACCATCGTCTGGTTTTTTTGTGTGTGTTTTTTTTTTTTCTTAAAAAAAAAAAAAAAAATTACAAAAAAAAAACAACCAAACCCCTAAGCCAGATGAGCTG